GACGCCATGGCCGACGCCATGGCCGACGCCATGGCCGACGCCATGGCCGACGCCATGGCCGACGCCATGGCCGACGCCATGGCCGACGCCATGGCTGACGCCGACGTGGCCGACGCCATGGCTGACGCCGACGTGGCCGACGCCATGGCTGACGCCGACGTGGCCGACGCCATGGCTGACGCCGACGTGGCCGTCGACGCCACCATAGCAGACGCCGACGCCTTGATTTAGTCGACGCCTTGGTTTAGTCGACGCCTTGGTTTGGTCGACGCCTTGGTTTGGTCGACGCCCTGTCCGACGCCCTGTCCGACGTCCGTACCTTGTTCTCGCAGCGCTCGCCCGAGTAGCCCGGGCCGCACTTGCACGTGAAGCCGTCCACCACGTCCACGCAGTCGCCGCCGTTGAGGCACGGCATGGAGCCGCACATGCGGAACTGCAAGTCGCATCGTTTGCCCGTGAATCCTGCCGGAAAAAAAGTTATAGTTTGCACTTAAGTGTAGAGGGGTTTACAATTTTTTTTTATGACGATTCGTATTGATTCAAAAATGAAAATTATTCGGGAACCACGTGGACTTTCGGACTTTCGGGGAATACAATTATTATGGGGTCCCACCCACGGTTCAGGACGACGATCATATGAGTCCATTAGGGGCACCATGGTAGTTGTTCCCCGGGTAGAAATATCATACGGTCTCCCATGGACTCTAATAATGGCCATGGCGAATCCTTTTCGGATCACATAATATTTGTGCCCCAAGTCCACAATGTTTCCGAACGACCTTTCATTGTCAAGGCTCAGCGTACCTGGCTGGCAGTAGCAGGAGGCTTGGCCGCCCTTGCTGATGCACAGGCCGTACTTGCAGGGCGAGGGCACGCAAGGCGAGGCGGCGGGGGCGACGACGACGGCGGCGACCTGGGTGGCGGGCGCGACGACGACGGGGTCCTCGGGGGCGGCCAGGGCCAGGACGGGCCGCTCGCACTGCACGCCGTGGAAGCCCGGCGCGCACTGGCACCACCACTGCGTGCCGTTGCGCGCGCTGCGCCGGCAGGAGCCGCCGTTGCGGCACGGCTCCGAGTCGCACGGGTCCGTCACCACCTCGCACCGGTCGCCCGTGAAGCCTGCGCGGGACAAACGAGAGTCAGACATGTAGTAGACAGAACATGTATAGAGACAACAATCCCAAAGAAAGGGGGGAGAAAAGAAAAAAAAAGTTTGTCATTTGATCAGGTGAATGCCGACGGATACTGGAAGTCCCCCATCGCATACTTTATAACTGTATGTACCACGTTCATAAGAAGACACACGTGACCTCTGGCGCCTTGGGTACCATTCAGAATTTCCGTCCGACCGTCAATAATCATCGTCGATGTCTCGTATACCGCCTGTTGGGTAGGCAACATCTCTCCTGCAGTGCATGCGTGTACTGCACAGTGGCCTACCCGGAATCTCACAGGCGCCGAGCTGACTGAGAGTAAATTTGCCGAATGAAAGACAGAGGATATAAACACGGACGTTTCACGTTCCGCTCGGACGCCCCCGAGTCAGAGGGGTAGGGGTCATAGGCCGCTCGTTGGCACGCGTGCAATGCGGCACAGTGTATAGGAGAGTGGGCGGGCGCTGTGTGCGGCGGTGCGAATCGATTGATTGTGAAGGAAAGGAGACCGGCCGAGACGTGTGTGTGTATGTCTCGACATTTCACGTCTCATTCTCCACCCCTCGTGGGCTCTCTTGTGCTCCCCGCCCTTTTACTCAGCCCACACGGACCAGCCCGGACCAGCCCCACCACCCGCCTCCTCCACTCCCCTCCCGCCCCCCGCAAGCGCGCTTGCTTTAATACTTCGCGGCGAGGGTCTTAAATCAGCGCGCTGCTATTGAATCCAGGAGCCTGCGCGGGGTGGTGGTGGTGGGGACCTCAGAGTGGGCAGCACACCCCTCCGCCTCGGGATGTGCGAGCAGCGCGCGCACGTACTCGCGCACGTACTCGCGCCGCACGTACGCACGGAGTGGTGGTGCGCGGCGCCGCCGCCACCGCGCCTGCCCACCTCCCCTTCCCCTTTTACTACTCGATTTACAGCCGGCCCGCGCGAGCGCACACATTCTTTATGGCTAATTTTATTGCCGAATTTTACGCACCGCCCCTTCTTCTTTGCAGCTGGACGTGTGGTGCGCGAACGGACGGACGGGCGAGCGAGTTGACGGACGGACGGACGGACGAGCGAGCTGACGGACGGGCGTATACAGTGCTTACGTTTGCGCGGGCGCGCGTGTGTGTGCGTGCGTGTGCGCGCCTTTCACTCCGCTCACACGGCCAACTACTCCGCAAGGG